GGGAAGCTTAGCAGTTCAGAAACATCGTAGACAGTCTTTCAAGGCACTCGAACCCTGGGAAATGCTGCTTATATTAAAATGTCCCACTGATACAGACCTAGTATTTCATAATGGTGAGACACAAGTTGAAGTTAGAACCTCTTGTGCAGCATAGAAGCAGCCACTGTGCTCCCTGTTACCACTGTTAACTTTTGGATTACTTCGAAAGGCCATTGCACTTTGCTGAGATGGTGTCTGCTGTAAGCTGTCCCAAATACCCATCACCTCTTTTTTTATGTAAGCCACACTTATGTCCAGTCTTCTTGACTTCCAGTTTTTTTTTTTTTTTTTTTTTTTTTTTTTTGGGTTTTTTGAGACAGGGTTTCTCTGTGGCTTTGGAGCCTGTCCTGGAACTAGCTCGGTAGACCAGGCTGGTCTCCGAATTCAGAGAGATCCGCCTGGCTCTGCCTCCTGAGTGCTGGGATTAAAGGCGTGTGCCACCGTCGCCTGGCCTAAATCCAGCTTTTTATATGTGGGTTCTGGTCATCAAACTTGAGTCCTCATTCTTGCATGATAAGCAGTTTTATAGAATGAATTATCTCCCCAGCTCTTCTCTCCCCTTCCTACATTATTTGTAGCTAGTGATGATGTCGTCAGGTTAATGACAATGACGTTGTCACTATGTACTATCCGATGCACTGTTTGCAGGACTGCTATGTGGCAGGCACCCATGCTACCACGCCCTTGCAGTCTGGTGCATTAACTTTCCCAGGGGAGATATGAGCACTTGCCTGTCCACCTAAGGCAGGGCACCAGCAGCAAACCTAAGAGACCAGCTTAGTGAACCAGTGAGTTTAGTTAGGTCAGCCAAGAGGCCAACAGGAATGCAGGCAGCTTCAGGACCAAAAGAAAAGTGCCCTCTGCACTAAACATCCATTAATGGCTGACATATCCCCAGGGAGGGGTTAAGACTTTGCACAGGACCTCCCGAGGAGTGCTCTCTCCCTCTGTGGGAGAAAGTTAATGGGCTGGAGCCTGTGCAGGTAATCACTGGCCAATGTTAAGGCTGCAGCAGCCTTGCTAAGTCTGGATGACTTGCAGATAAGTTGGTGGCTTTAGGGAGGGCCAGCCTTTGCCCAAAGCCTTACTGCCCCTTCCTCAACTCTCTCGTCCTTTGGAAGGTCCCAGCACAGCACAGCTGATCACTTCTCTGTGGATGGCTCCTGCCCCTCCCCTTGGCTGGGAGTCCACTTTTCCCAGCACATGAACGATACCCTCAGCATGACCAAAACGCTCAACTATTCTTTTGTTAAGGTGTTTCTAAAGCTTCCCATTTGGTGCTACTGAATTTTCACAGTTATTCTGTAACACTGCTATTCCTTTCCATGTTCAGCGCAGTTTCTCCTCTGTCCCAGGGAAAGGAAATCACGCACACACAAAATGACATAGATTTTGTATGTAACCCTCTTTTGTATTTCAAATAGCTCTATACTAGTTAGTATGTAAATGGTATATAAATAGTTGTTGTTCTGTTATTTAGGAAGTAATAAAAATAGTCAATGTATTCAGTACTGATTTCCTTTTTCAACCATTTGTTTCTATTTTTTGTTTGGTTGTGTTTCTGTTTTGTTTGTTTTTGAAGACAGTCTCATTATGCAGTCCTGGCTGTTCAGGGACTTGCTATGTAAGCCAAGCTGGCCTCGACTTCACAGAGATCTGCCTGCCTTTGCTTCCCAAGTGCTGAGACTAAAAACCTGCCCCATTCAACTATTTCTGATGGGTGTGCTAGTACACATGGACACTCCCAACCTGGAGGATGGAGAGTTCCAGGCCAGCCTGGGCTATGTAGTGTTTAAGGTTAGTATGTACGTAAGTCAGTGCCATGAGATGTCTCAAAAATCCCAAAGTAACATTTCCCTTACTGTCCCGAGTGATTGAGTCTGTGGATAAGAAATCTTTAGATAAGGAGGCACAGATGACTGAAGTCAGACTTGAGAGTTCCACGTGTGTTTCAAGTTCACACAGCTCGTACACGGTGGGCTGATCCTGAATCCGGATCTTACAGTAATACCTTCTTGGCTCCCTTCAAGCTGAACTCTCCCCTTGCTTGCTTGTCTTGACATCTGCTGTAGTCCTTCTCTGGCTGGGGCTGTAGTTCAGTGGTACAACACTTACCTAGCCAAGACTCAAACTCTGTCTTCTGCAAGAGCAGCAAGCACTTTTTACCACTGAGCTACTTCAAATTTTTAAACTGTGTTTCTGTTTCCAGAAGGCGTTGGGTCCCCAGGGGCTAGAGTTACAGGTAGTTGCTGTACTTGGATCTTCTGCAAGAGTAGTACACTGGGCTTTTAACTACTGAAGCATCTTTCCAGCCCCTCCTTTTTTGGGGGGAGGCGCTGAGGCAGGGTGTCATCATGTAGCCCTGGCTGTCCTGGACCTCACTCTGTAGACCAGGCTATCCTGTAGCCCTGGCTGTCCTGGACCTCACTCTGTAGACCAGGCTATCCTGTAGCCCTGGCTGTCCTGGAACTCACTCTGTAGACCAGGCTAGCTCACAGAGATCTGCCTGCTCCGCCTGAAGATTTGCAGCACAGTAGTAGTTGGTCTGCACGACTTTCCCGCTCAGCCTCACAAGTGCAGGAAATGCATGTGTGTATCACACCCTTAATTAAACCTTTAATCCATCCTCGATATAAAAAAACTCAAGTAGAGTCAGGCAGTGGCAGCATAAGCCTTTAATCTCACCACTTGGAAGGTAGAAGCAAGCAATCTCTTGTAAATTTGAGGCCAGCTTGGTCTACAAAGTGAGTTCCAGGACAACCAGAGCTGTTACACAGAAAAACCCTGTTTTGAAAAACAAACAAAATTCAAGTAGAGAGATAGGAAGCTCAAAGTGTCCTGTATGCTTCAGAATTTGCCATCTCTGGACCAGCAGGAGGGCTTTTCACTACCAAGTCTGAGCCCCAGAACGCACAGGAGGATACTTCTGACTTCCCTGTGTGCTGTGTTCATGCTCACACACACACTAAAAGTGTTGCTTTTCAAAGAATTTACCACTTCCCTAGTGACTGCATCTGTGTCACCATGTCAGCAGCTCACTACAGACATTTGAGGTGTGCCTGGGTCTTCCTTAGCCCAAAACAGGCATTCATAAACAACTGGCAAAAAGAATCCATTTACAATCTCTTAAGCTTCACATTTTTAGGTCCAGACTTCCGCCCCAGAGGGAAGACCAAACCCCCTCTTCTCCCACCTTCATTAATGAACAAGAAGACTTCTACCTCTCGGTCTGCGGGGGATCTGGTTTGTATTTTAGCAGGGTCTTAGAAGGAAATGACTTTCTCTAAACTGCAGCCGCCCAACCCAGCTGTGGCATTCTTAGACCTCGGGTAAACAGGAAGCTTCCTGCCTTCGGCCCTTCATGTTCCTCTCAGACTATTAAAGACTGTTAATAGGCCGGTAAAAGGACAGCTGCTGGCCATAAAGTCAGCCCATTCCTTAGAACCCTAGCAACCAGCCTTCCCCGGTCAGTGAGACCACGCCCTCCTCCAGGTGTTGCTCGCCTAGCAGGGGTCCTCAGGTGTAGGGTTTCTGGGGTGGTGAGGTCTAGAGACAAAACAATGAGAACACAGCCTCTCGGTGGGAGGTGAGTTGCCTCTCCCAGGAGGGGGACAGTCGCTTCTAGTTAGTCCCCAAGAGAAGACAAAAGTGAAGCAGACACCAAAGGATCCAGTGAGTGCTCCGGCTAACGGGGACCCCAGATCCACCCACAGTAATTTTGGGGGGGAGGGAGGAGTCCTAGGATTTGCAGCTGCGGGTGAAGAGGCGCAGTCTTTGCCAGCTGAAGGGACACTAGGGCAGAGGTGATTGTCCTTTGCCAAGAAGGGCACTCGGTGTCTTGGCAGAAGGCAGAGGGCTGCCCCAATCTGTGTGTACATTTTCAGTAGCATTTGACTCTGGACCAAACGCTTGGCTGTGCTAGTGCCGTGGTGATGGGTGGGAATGCTCGTTGGCCAGGCTGGCTGGAGGCTCCCACGGAGGGTGCTGGGCCTCAGCCAGGAGCTTCCCTTCAGCTGGCAAGTTGAGCTTTCTGTCACGGTTGGAGGGAGTGTGTCCAAATTCCAACTCTCAGCTTTCCAGAAGCTGCTGCGGATTGCCATCTGTTTTGAGGAAGGCTGCTTATTGGAATTTCTGGCTCAGTGGGAAGAAGGATCATGATACAGAGCCAAACTCACCTGGCTCAAGACAGGAACAGGCACTGCTGGGCAGGGCCAGGATTCTCTAAAGGCACTTCCTGCCTTGGCATCCTGGGGTGCTGGGAAAGGTGGGAGCCATTCCCCTCATCAGTGACATTACTATTAGTGACCAAAAGAGCCAGGCAGCAGGCACATGACCCCCTTGGACTTGGCTACAATGATCCCCATCAGGGCTGTGGTATTAGTGCCTACCAAACAAGCAGGAGCTTTTGAGGAAGGAAAGAGTGGGTGTCATTACTCCCCATGGCAGCTCCTACTCAGGGCTGTTCCCAGGGGTGGTGGAGGGGCTCTAATTGATCAAAGGAAATGGAGGACTTTCCACTAGGGTCACATTTGAGCCTCCAGGTGTTCAGATTGGGATCTGTTTAAGGTAACCTCAAGATTTGTGGCCTAAAGACCTAAAGCATACTGCAGGGAACCAGGACATTCCTTAGTTTCAGAGCAGGTAAGCAGCTCTGGAAGTAGTTTAGGATGACATAGTCGGAACATGAGGATAAGGATCCAGGGTTCGGATCCTGTGCTCTGCTCCAAATCATTTATTATCGAAATTAGGGCCTCACATGCTTTATTACTGAGTTCTAGCCAAGCCCCTATAATTTATAAAAAGTAACTTAGCAGAGCCTTGGCACAAACCTTTAGTACGAGCACTCAGGAGGCAGACAGGTGGATCTCAGACCAGCCTGAGCTACATGCACAGGGGGACCCTGTCTCAAATCCCATGATCCGCCCCTCTCCCCGAATAAGATAATTCATTGCAAATACAAGTTTTTAAATTTTCATAGTGAGTAGGATTTTTTATATAAATGCACACATCATAAAGAAAACATCAGAAAGGTCTCACTTAGAGCAGGTGGTTCCTTTTTCCTTTGTTGTACTGTCCCCACCATCTTGGGGGGCCACGCTGTTGCCTAGAGCTTTGATCAAACATTTAAATTTACACACGGGCAACCAGATGTAGGTAGAGTTAGAGGCCAGCCTGGTGCGAGTTCCTGGACAGCCAGGTCTACAGAGAAACTCTGTCCCAAAAAACAAAAACAAAAACCTTCCACATGGGTCAGTAGGAGGGTTAAGATTGTTTGATACTGTTGACCCGGGAGATTCGAGGCGGCTCCACTCAGCAGAGAAAATGCTCCTTCTCTAAACTTGTTCCACCCTGGACAAGGGGCTGGCTGCTGTGCTCACATTCTCCATTCCTGCGTGGCCCCCAGGGGCCAGGGTAGATCCTAATGGACATGCGCTAGGGTGTGCAGGCAGTCCAGCCAGTGTGTTGGAAGCTTTCAACCCCTGGGTTAAACCAGCTTCCAGCTTGTCCCTCGAGACTCCAGGTCAAGTCCAAGGCAGGAAGTTGCAATGGAGGAGTAGTCCCAGGAGCCAGTAAGTCAGGAAATAGCCTAGGATGCATCTTGTGACTGGAGAACAGGCCTTCCAGTTGTACAAGAGTTTCAGGATACAGTTTCTGGGGGCCTTTATTTCTGGCGGGGTGTTTTCCTCAGGTACCATGTTCACAGATCTCAACAGTGGCTCTTGATTCTGAAGCAAGTGAGCTGGAAACCAGTACACAATAGGAGTGGAAGAGCCCAAAAATCGTGTGAGAACCTAAAAAAAAGACCATACTGACTGGAGCATCAGTGACGTGACTGGGTGAATCATGCATGCATGACAAGCAGGAAAGCAAATTCAGCATAGCTGCAGATCTTCCCGAAAGGACGGTGTACCACCACCCAACCTTGAGTTACAGTAATCAGTCTCAGACCAGTTACCACAATAACGGGCCAACCAACACTAAAATCTCTATAGTGTCTGATTTTAGTCCACAACCTCTAAATTTTAGTTTGTTGGAGGCTGGGGGCAGAGGGAAGCAACAGGTCCTGGTTCATCCTTCCCCATCTCAGTTCTGAGCCAAATCTCCAAGAGCTCTCACCTACCTTACAGACTCTGAGCTAGCCTGGCACTCACTGAAAAGCTGATCCAGTCACAGACCAAGACGGCTATTTTTTACTTTCCCTAACCACATGGCTCAAATAACATCACAAACTGTCAATATTTGCCTGTGAACGGAGGACAAGACTTACTTGGAGACAGCTAAGAACTTTAAAAATTGGACATAAGATCAAACCCCTGATCCTATACTGACACCACCACCAAACACTGGACAAGATGTTTATTGCCTGTGCTCAAGACACCCTAAAAGATCGCCACGGCAGTCTGTGTCCTGGGGAAAGGCTCAAGAGAAGCTGTGTCTACTCCTACATTCCAACAACCAAACTCTCTCACAGCCTTTACACCTCTGCTTGTGCCCACCCCGTGTCCCCACAGCTGTCTGGAATGTTTGCTGCTTCTTTGTTTTGTAGATAGGATTTCCTGTAGTGCAAGTGACCTCAAACTAGTACCTGAGGACGGCCTTGAACTGATCCTTGAGTTACTCAAAGTAGTTCACTTATTGGGCTAAACTCTCTGCCCAGCCACCAGGGGTCCCCCTGGCTCTGTTTCCCCAGCACAAATATAGACGAGCACCATGCCTGTTTTTTTATGTGGGCTATGAGGTTGCAACCTCCTATGTTTGCACCGTAAGCATTTCAGCAATCCATCCATCTCCCCACTCCTACATGCTTCTTACCTGAGGGTTTTTTTTTTTTTAACTCTTCAGAACCCATTTTAAATATGATGCTTTAGTGAGTTAACTACTTTTTCACATTTACAATAAATACACTAATTGACTGTGTGTGTGCTCAGTTCTCTTCTACCATGTGGATGCCAAGGACTGAACTCAGGTCAATTAGGCTTGGCAGTAAAGGCCTGTACTTTATTTCGGTGCTGGAGACTGAAGACAGGACTCTCACACGGTAGGCAAGTGCTCTACCACTAAGTTATACTCTCAGTACAATCTGAACATTTCACTGGTTTCTTGAGCAGGATCTCCAATGTTGTTCTAGCTGGCTAGGAATGGACTATAAAGACCAGGCTGGCTGGGGGGTGGTGGCACGTGCCTTTAATCCCAGCACTAGGGAGGTAGAAGCAGGCGGATCTCCGTGAGTTTGAGGCCAACCTGGTCTACAAGAGCTAGTTCCAGGACAGGCTCTGAAGCTACAGAGAAACTGTCTTAAAAACAAACAAACAAAAAAATAGACTAGGCTGGCTGGCCCAGAACTGGGGACAATCTCCCTGCCTCTGCTCTGCTTCCCAAGCACTGGAATTACGTGTCATCATGTCTGGGGGAACTTTTTTTTTTTTTTTTTTAAAATGTGCATTGGTGTTTTGCCATGGGTATCTGGTTCCCTGGAATTGGAGTCATAGACAGCTGTGGACTGCCATGTGGGTGCTGGGAATTGAACTCTGGTCCTCTGGAAGAGCAGTCAGTGCTTCTAACTGCTGAGCCATCTCGCTATCCTGCTTGAGTGGATTTTACTTTTTGTTTGAGATAGGGTGGCGTACTCCTTTAATCCCAGAACTTGGGAGGCAGAGGCTGGTGAATCTCTGTGAGTTCAAGGCCAGCCTGGTTTACAAGAGCTAGTTCCAGGACAGGTAGGACTGTTGCTGGCCTCGAACTCACAGAGATCCATCTGCCTCTGCCTCCTGAGTGCTGGGATTAAAGGCGTGTGCCATCATCACCCAGCTGCATATATTTTAAAAAATTACAGTACTATAATTTGAAACAAATATGGTTTCATATAGCCCAGGCTGACCTCAAACTCACTATGTAGTAAAGAATGACCTTAACTGTTTTCGTTTTTTGAGACAGGGTCTCACTATATAGCCTTGACTTGACTAGAACTCACAGAGCTTCCCCTGCCTCCACCTCCTAAATGCTGGGATTATAGGTGTTTTTTTTGCAGTGTGGGGAAAGAACCCAAGGTCTTTGTGCGGTCAGGCAAGCAGCCTACCAACCGAGCTGCACCCCAACCCCTAATTTCATCTGTCTAATACGTCTGTCTCTGTGTTTATACCATAAGACTCATTAAGGCAGTTATTTCATCTTACTTATGTCTATCCTCAGAGTTCTAATTTAGATTCTGGAACAAAGAAAGCCCCAGGTCTGTGTTTGTCTGGCTATTTAGCCTATGCAGATCTGAACTGCTTTGTAGTCCAGGCTACCTTCAATTTAAAATCCTCCTGCCTCAGTGCTGGGATCATAGCTGCGCCTAAGTACACCTGACTGCCCAGTTGTTGACTAAATTAGGCACGGGCCATCAAGAGAGAAAGTTACCACCCCCGCTGTATTCAAGCAGTCATTCCAGGGAGAAACCCACCTCACCTGAACATGCATGCACAGCCCTCCAAAGAGCAGCAGCACTGCAGCGTGGACCAGGTACACAAACACCTTTGGACTGAGGAAGCCAGGATGGGACTTCTCTAGGGTCTTACTATCCTTGCATCTTTGTAGCCCAAGTGTAAGGCAGAGCCGAGGGTGGGTGGTCACATATGTCCAGGTTGCCCACACAACCAGTACAGTTACCGGTGCAGCTAGTAGAAAATTGGGCACCTGCCTGAACTCATAGTATCGCAGAAGGCCAACATTCCAATAGACATCCTGGATATAGCTGTATATTAGGGGAAGCTCCCAGGAGCACCATGGGGGCTCATTTTCTCCTGTAATCCGGTAGCCTTTGTCCACAGCTAACTGTACCAGAGGCTCAGGAATGGAGTGGGCAGAGCCTGGTAGGCAGAACTGGGTATAAGCATAATACTGAAAGAGAGCAAAGGGAAGGCTGACAGTGAGTGCTGACAGGCAGAGAGAGGCCATCAGCTTGACGAGCTGTTTCAGGGGGTTCAGCACCACAAGAGAAGAGAAAAAGCCTCTGCACTGAGAATGCAGGAGGAAGCCGACACTGACCAGCCCATTGGAGCGCACCCCAGTGGCAAGAGCAAAGAGCAGCCCACTTGCCCAGCTCCGGCCCCTCTCCAGCTGCCCCATGGCGCTGAAAGTCAGGAAGGCAAACAAAGCTTCCGAGTACCCAGCTGCTAAGAAGACATTGGCGGGGCTGAGGCAGAAGAGCATGGCTGCATAAAAGGCCTGGCGAGGACAGTGCAAAACCAGACAACCCAAATCATGAAGTGTGAGTGCAGCCAGCACAGAGAACAGGAAGTTAAGAAGTGCTACTGAGACCAGCAGGCAACTGCGCTGGCTCAAGAGGCCCTGCAAAGGTCTCAGCAGTTCAGTTCCCGTCAGCAGGGCCAAGGGGAAACCAGGGAAGAAGGCAAAGTTGTGCTCATAAAGGTAGCCGTGCTCAGCAATAAACAGGAAGTGTTCTGCATCCCATCGAGACAGACCACCCAGGAGACCTTCCACAAGCTGATCCACAGAGCCCGAGGGGGCCAGGCGGGGAGGAGAAAAGGCATCAGCGTGGTGATCTGGGATGATGACATTGAAGAGTGCCTGTGGGGTGAAGGAGAACCAGGGTATTGGTAAGTAACTGGAAGGAAAGAATTACCATTCAATAAAAAGGGAAAACTGACTTGATGATATGGGGTGTTTGTGTGCGTGCGCGTGTGTATAAGGAGCTCCAATGCTAACTAGTTAATCTAGCATAGAGGTCAACCAAGCAGGAAGATGCCTGAGTCTACAAATGAGAAGTCAGATCAGAATTCATATAAACTGGAATGGAATAGGAATGGTACTCCCAGGTGTGAGAATGAAGGAGCCTGCCTGGGAAGGAAGGAGATCCTGAGATGGAGCTCTTCAAGGATGAGGATGGAGTCCTCCTGGCAAGGAGATAAGGATCCAGCAAGGAAGAAAGCAGGAAGCCAAGCAAACTGGCATAAACCTTGAATCTCTAAACTCAGGAGCTAGAGGCAGGCAGGTATCTGTGGGTACCAGGCCAGCCTCATCTACACAGTGAGTTCCAGGAACAGTGAATGATGGTGAGCTGCGGGAAGCCCAGGTCTTAGAGAACAGAGTCTTAGAACCATGTGAAAACCAGGACTGAGAAACTGTTGAATGCTGCTGACAGGCCCCAAGTAAGACAGGAACCAAAAACCGATCACAGACTTCAACAATGAGAAGGTCTAGTGACTGAGTAGAGCTACTTGAGTGGGACAGAGAGGAGCAGCCACCGAGCTAACCGAAGTAGAAAGGAGTTTCTGATGCGGTCAGGGGCTCAAACTTGAAACAGAGCTGAGAATGACCTTGAATTTGATCTTTCCGTCCCTGCACATCCCAGTGCTTGTTATAGATGTGTGTCACCATGCCTGGTGTGTGTGTGTGGGGGGGGATGAGAGATCAGTGTTTGCTGTCACTGGAATAAGTCAGTGAAAAGAAACCACCGAACAGGAGGGAGGCTGGAAGGATCTCTGGGCAGGGAACAGGGGTAGCACCTACTGGACAGAAGAGGGGAGAGAGTTCAATCCACTTTCACCAGTGAACTCACAGACACATGTAGGTAGGCTACGGGATGCAGCACTCAGATTTTCCTGAGTTTTGATGCAGAAATGTGAATTCCTACTTGACAGCACCAGGAAAAGCTGTTATAGATGTGTAAAGAGCCTGCAGAGACAGCTTGTGGGAGGTTCTCTTTCCACCACATGGAACACAGGGACCAAAGTCAGGTTATCGGGTTTGGAGACATGTGGCTGTCCTCGAGCCATCCTGCCAGCCCCGGGTATTGAATTTTTAAAGTTTTCATTTTTATATATGTTCATGTGTGTGTGTGGCAGAATATAAAATCCAGCGCCTCACACACACTAAGTGCAAATTCTACCATTGAGCTCCATCTCCATCCAACACTGCATTTTTTAAAAAGTCCCCCAGGTAACTGTGATGTGCAAAAAACATTTGAGAGAACAGGAGGGTGAGTGGGCTATGGAAATTCATCAAGATTTCCAGGTGGTATTAATGGCTCACTTAATCTTGTATTTAAAAAAGGCTAGTTAATATACTTGCATTTTTTAAAAAATGGATAGTGTAGGCACAAAGAAGGCAGACCACTATGTTCACCAAGACTCGACTTTTGTCTTATGTATAAAACAGGGATAATGGAAGAAGAGAGTTGCATGTACGCACAGGAATGAACACCACGAAAGGAATAGATTCTGCTTAGGAAGAGGAAGCTAAAGGCTGGTGGGCAAAGGCCAAAGAAACATGGTAGGTTCCATGGATCACAAAGCCAGAGAACGTTACGGAAGGTCTGAGGAACAGGAATGAGCAGCAGAGACAAGAGAGACAGTGGCCAGAGAACGAGAGAAGCCTTGACAGACTCTCGGGCAGGGGTTGGCTATGGAGCACCACTACGGAGAGGTGGAGACAAGGTCCCTGAAAGGAAGTGGGACGATGATCTGAGGATCAGGGCGCTGACCATATCATCCTCTTACTACTGAAACCACAGATGTCAACAGAAGACAGAATGCCTGTGAATCGAGAGTCAAAGTCTTCACTGACAGAGATGCGGCAACAGTGGCGGTATCTAGGGATAGAATCTGCTAGTATGAGCTTTAGAGCTGGAAGGGGCGAGGAGAGAGAGTGAAATCCAATTTATTGTTAATGTCTTTCTGCCTCATTAGGTTGTCAGTTACTTGAAGGAAAACATGACCTTTCACTCATAATTTAGCACAGTTTTGGGAATAGGTACTTACTATAATTTTGGTGGCTGAGCTTCAGGGATTTGAGGAAATATACTGTTTCCAAAATCCCGCTGAACGAGAACGCAGCTGTCCTGGCTCCCTACCCCAGATGCTGACTTGCTGCACTGCTCCTTTGGCTCTGCCAGGAACTCAGCTGATGCTGGTCCAGAGCCATCACTGAGTCAGGCTCCCCAGCCTAGCAACAAGAGCACTGCCCAATTAAAGGCTCATTCTCTTTTTGGTCAGTTTCTTTCTTTTCTTTTCTTTCTCCCCCACCCCCACCTTTTTATTTTTGTTTTTCCAAGACAGGGTTTCTCAGTGTAGCTTTGGCTGTCCAGGAATTCACTCCGTAGATGAGACTGGCCTTGACTCACAGAGATCTGTCTGAGAGCTGGGATTGGAGGTTTGCGCCACCACTGCCTGACTCTTTGGTCAGTTCCTTCATCAGACCACTGCAAAGAGTGGAAAGAAATGGGATGGGGGTGACAAACACAGGTAAGAGCACAGCCTTCATTAAGGGCTCCAAAGCCAAAAGAACCTGAAGTGCTTCATTTAATAAGGAGGAATAATTCAGAGCTAGAAGCTCAGAGGGAGGAAAGAAAATGTTTCTACAAAGGAAGCAGCTAGGAGCCCCAGATATGGGTGATAAAGAAATATATATCATGGGTTGGAAAGATAGTTCTGTGGTTAAGAGCATTGACTGCTCTTCCAGAGATCCTGAGTTCAATCCCCAGCAACCACGTGGTGGCTTACAACCATTTACAATGAGATCTGATGCCTTCTGGCGTGCAAGCATACAAGCAGACAGAGCAGTGTATATAATAAATAAAATAAATCTTAAAAAAATACACATCATTATATCAATACAGTAACTCTAGGGTGTTGACAATGATCATAAACTCATAGACCTGCCAGACGCCGGTGGTGGCGCATGCCTTTAATCCCATAATTTGGGAGGCAGAGGCAGGCAGATCTCTGTGAGTTTGAGGCCAGCCTGGTCTACAAGAGGTTGTTTCCAGGATAGGCTTCAAAGCTACAGAGAAACCCTGTCTCAAAAAACAAACAAACAAAAACCAAAAAAAATCTCATAGACCTACCAAGCATAAAGCACTAGACCTACCAAGTATAAAACACTAAGCTAGGCACCAAATAATTCATATATATGTGACTTTGATTAAAGTATGTATCAAGGCAGACTAGGGAAAAGGGTGACAAAGGGCAAACATACTCAAAACTGAGTGGCTAGGACAGCAAGTGGGGAACCATTCCTGACGAATATTCATAGATAGTCTCAGAACTTTGGAAGGGCTTCCTTTCTCCCAGTCCACTAACACAGTACTCAGGCTCCAAGTCAGGGTGCCCCAGCAACACTTTGAGCTGTCACAAACACCTCAAAGTATCTCTGTTGGTGAGACCATCAGATAAATAAAGTCTGTGAGAAAACCTCTAGTTCAGGTAGGAGTTAGGGAGCCTGGGGTCCAACTCTAGCCCTTTTTCTTGCTACATAGCTTAACGTGTCTGGTTCACGTGTAAGACACATGTTAATAGCACTACTAAGGCTCTTGCCCTCTTTTCAGCTGCCAGGTCTAAGTCTGTCTGGGTCCAACCACATGAAGAGGCACAGCAGGAAATGGAGAGGTGAGGACCATTTATTCTTCATTACTACTCAGTCATAAGGCAACAGCATGTTCAGAGCAGGTGTCGGAGACTGACCTGTAGCGTTAGGGTCAGGATGCGGCAGCTGACTGCAAATCTCAGCACCTCTTTCTGGGATGGGTCCAGGGGCCACATCCTCTCGCCACGTCTGAGCTTCCTCAGGCTTCTAAACTCTAACACCCAAGGAAGAAAATGTCACACATGGGCTGAAAGAAAATAAATAACATTTTCTTCACAGGAGCCACCCCGTTTAGCACTCTATGACAACATAACCATCTTACTTCCCAGAGGGAGACTATCTTGAAAGCAGATGGATCACTGGGTGTCACTATGAGAAACACTGTATTCTAGTATTCAGGTAATTTCTACACAGATAAGCAAGAAGCTGGAAAGTTAAGTGCCCAGAAGTTTTAAAAGCCTGTTGAATGCTTTTATATAGGAGTCAAGTCCCAACTCTGTCACTGGCAAGTTCTCATTTAGTCCCTCTGAGATTCCTTTATATGTACAATGAGGTAAGACTATCCCCCCCCCCCCCACTCCCAGCTCCCAAATCCGTCACATGGCAAAACGGACTAAACTAAAAGTGCCACACAAATCAATGCTGTGGCTGCTATTATTTGGCGTGTGCCCTTTCCCTCTTGCCCAGAATAATAAACTAATTCCCAAACCAGAGTCCCCAGAGTGGGGCACGGAACCATCCTAGAAGCCTGTAATAACTCCACATGCCAGCGCAGCTCTGTGATGTGTGTTCAGCTGGTCTGTTAAATTAAGTGGAGAAGGGAAAGGAAACCGCTGCTCGGCAGGACTTCAGCCAGCTCCCATTGCTAAAACAAACTTAGGGCAAGACAGAGTCTACCACCAGGGAAGGAGTAAACGGCTATTTCCCATCTCCACAGGGGTGGCAACAATGTACAAAAACCAAAGCTATTACCAGACACAGAATGCACGTCAAGGCATTTTCTTTTCTTTTTCTTCCTTCCTTCCTTCCTTCCTTTTTTTTTTTTTTTTTTTTTTTAAGCAGTCATGGCTCCTACAGTGTTGAAGCAAGAACCACAAACCTCCTTTTTCTTCTCTCAGGTGGCTAACACCTCCCAAACTTTTAGGTTCCACTTGCTTTCTGCTACGTTCTGATTCTCACCAGCGCCCGCTCACTACGCTCTTACGCCCTCCTCACAGCCTCTTGCCCTGACACACCACTGTCTGTTCTGTATGAGGACAGGGACGGGCCCGAAGTGTAGTCCCGGGAAGAGCAGGGAAACTGACATCTGTACATCTGTTCTGAATGACAGGACGCAGCATGGCCAGTTCTCTGACTCTAGATCTAATAAATATCACTGGTCCAGATATTCCTCCCGTCACAGGTCATGTTAATCCCGTCACAGGTCATGTTAAAAAACAAGATGGGCCAACATGTAAGGGCACTTGCCACCAGAGTGACCCACAAAGCTGAAGGAGAGAAGGCACTCTCACACGCTGTCCTCCCACCTCCTCACACGGGCGTGCCATGGCACACGTCTAGCCACACACATATACACAAACAAAAGCACACAGAATAACAATTAAAACAAACAAAGCAAAGCAAATGACACAGAAGCCATGGGAGAAAATAAAATCCTCCGCCAAGGGAACAGGTCTGGCTAGCGGCGACAGTACTTCTCGCTTGGCACAAGGGGGCACCTAACGTTTGCTTCATCACCAGGAGGCCAGGGGAAAAGGAGGGCCCCTCTCAACTCCCAACTCGGCATGGCTTTACCCGGGGAAGTTCAGTTAGAGTTAAGCTTCTGAACAGCCCCAGGAAGGAGTACTTTTCTGACTGCACATGTATCTCCAACACTAGATTCACCAAACCCAAAGAAATCATAGGAACACGCACACCCAATCTCTTCTGCCCTAGGATAAATTCACTTTTTTTTTTCTTCACCGGCCTCCCCACTTGCATGCACAAGGGAGGCAGGGAACAGAAAAGTACTGAATCCACCTCTTCCTCTTTTAAACCCTGGCCTCAGTGGCCACAGGAGATGCAACCCACACTTAATTTTCGATCAAACCAAGTAAAATCAGGAGTCAATTATTCCTCTAGCTATTTGCCAATATCCGTTTGAAAGAAGTCCCTCGCCAAACTCACACTCTTAACTGGTAGGACGCTTAGAACCAACAAGTTTCATTTTTTAATTTTCCCGTGAGACAGACTTCGGAGATCTCATTAGACACTAGCTGGCCGGTATATAATTACCCCTGCCATTTTATGGATATGAAAACTGAGGTTCACTGGAGTCACGTGACACACCCACTACTTTAAAAGTTCCTCATGCACTGCTTCCTAAAACCTTATGCCCAAAGTCATGAGCGCATTCTGCCACAAACACAAAGGGTCTGCATTCCTTTCCAGCCAGGACAACCCAGGTCTCCAACACCTAGCCCAGTACTTCTTCCGAAGATAGCGCATGTTGCTGCTGGAAGCTTATGGTGATGGGCCCTATCTGGGAAAGCCTGTTCAACTGGAGCCCTGGCTTCTCCAGGCAAGGCTAACATCTCGGTGGGGTGATGCGCTCTGACCAGGGTGCTCGGGGACAGAGGCCTCGCGGAGCGCACGGCCTCCTTCTACTAAGCCCCGCGGGGCCGGCAGCCCGTTCCAGCCTGTTCTTTTCGGACACACTTCCTACCCGGGACGGGGTACTGACCCTCACCCCAAGGCAGCCACGGCCCAGGACTTCGTCCCGAGGGAACCGCAGGGCCGGGCCAGGCAACAGGGCCGGAAGCAGACGAGGGCCGGAGGCCGCATAGGAAGAGGCGGCGCCGGGGGCCGCTATGGCGGAGGGGCGGGGCTCCTCGCGGCTCTACAGCCTCCGCCTAATTTCTCTCGGCCTCCGTTTGACAGCTTCCCTCCCCGGAGAACTCCGGAGCTCCAGAGCTGGCGCCGGGTCCTCCGCGCCCGCGCATCCTGACCACCCCCGCCGAGCTCCAACCTCAGCACCTCCATCCGGGTCCCGGGAGTCCTGCGCCTGCGCGCTCGCTCCGCCGACGGCGGCCCCGCCCAGCTCCTGCCCGGACTCGGAGCGCCCCGCCTCCCTGCTCGGCGGCCATGTTGACCCCAGCTGGGGCGGGGGCCGAGGGTGTGCGTCGCCCCTTCCCGGCGTGGTGACACCTGAGGAGTCCGCCTCTCGCTCGCCGTCAGCGTGTGCGCGGGCGTCGCGCTCTCAGTCGGCGCTCGCGCCCCAGTCCCATCCCGCTGTGGGCCAAGGCTGGACCGAGTGCTACCCCAGGCCTGACCAGCGCAGCGGGAGCCGCACGTTCTCTCCTGTCCCGCCACACCAGCTCAGCACAGGGCCTGGCACACATTACACAGTATGAATAGGCCAGAGACACCCCTTGTGGGTTTTTTTGTGGCAAGCAGCGATACCCAGCGCCTGGGCGCGAAGAAAGTGGGGGATCCCCCCTGACTTTCCCTTCCTCTGGCTATGGAGGACCTCTGCCCAGCTTCAGTTCTCAGCCCCACCTCGGGTGGCTGCAGAGGACGAGGAAGGAAACCTCAGAGAACACCCCCGAGGACTCCTCCCTCAAGCAGTTTCTGTCGTAGGAAGTGGCGCCAAAAGCAGAAAAAAAGGAAGCTAATTCAACAAAACCGTCTGTTGGGGAGGAGCGGCCAGTTGGTACCCCTGTAACGGAAACTGTTAGAACGACTTTACACCCTCCCCAAAGGAAATAGATAATAAATCCTTCTCCGTTGGATTTCTTGTTTCTCAGGATTCCAAAGCCGCCTGTGGTTTCAGTTATCTGTCCTCTCAACGTAGTTTGGGTCTGGGTTAACCTCTGGCCGCAACCCTGGCTGAGGGTGGGGTTTATCTTCTGTAACAGCCACTAATGTGGGTGGGAACAAAGAGATGGTGGCTCTCTCCCAGCGAAGAAAACTAGCCCACATCAGTTTGGTGGAGGCTCAGGAGCTGTATCATTTCAGAACCGGGACTTAAAATTGCCCCCTCCGCTATCTGTAAAGTGAAGAAGGCATAAAGCACATTTTAGTGGTTGGTGAAGAGAAAAAAGGAGTTTACAAAGTCGTTCTTCCAGGTTTTTCAGCGTAGAAACAGCGCCTTGGTTGCCAGTCGCGTGAATGAAATGGCAACGCCTCTCTGGGCACACTGGTGACTAGGGCCCAACGTTGTGACTTGAATCTCTAGAGACTCCCGCCGCAGCGCTCTCTTTCAAGGCTAAACAGAGAAATCAGTTGCTCTTGTTGTGTGAACTCATGGGGGATATGCTCAAGGCTCTGTCTGTCCATGTCAATTCCCTCAGAATCCACGTGTAAAAGAGGCAAGGGGTCCTCTTGTGAGCAGTGAGACTGTTTGCTGAAATATCCTTTGGGGTAGAACTTTAACTAGCTCTTCGGTTGCACTTGGCTGCAATTTTCCCTTCCTTCCTTCTTTCCTTCCTTCCTTCCTTCCTTCCTTCCTTCCTTCCTTCCTTCCTTCCTTCCTTCCTTCCTTCCTTCCTTCCTCTTCCTCTTCTCCTCCCTTCCTCCCTCCCTCCCTTCTTCCTTCCCAGCTACCAACCCTCCTCTTCTGCTCTGTTTCCCAGTTCATTTTCTGGCTTCTGCTCCTACAGGAAAACAAGGAAGCTGAATGTTGTGCTCGCAAAGCCCTCCGACAACGACACCGAGGTGGCAGGATGGCACGGGAGGATTGTGGGGGCCCCAAGTCTGTGTGAAAGGTGAAAGAGGCAGCTCCTCCGCGGTTTGCCTTCACAGTCTGCGGTTAAAATGGAGCCTGCAGCAACACAGCCAGCAGAACCAAGAACTAGAGAGAGGGCAAGGGAGCCAGCCAGCTATGTCCCTGGGGTCCAGAAAGACTCCACCTCCCACCTTGCATTAAAAAGGAAATACCTGACACCATCTGGGAACAGTTTCACAATACAGGTTCCTAAGCTCATCAATGCCACTATTTCTAGAATCCTAAAAGGCAAGAGGATGACATCATTTTTGTTCTTTGAACTTTCCTGCCTCTCGGTATTTGCTGATCTTTTTATGTTTATTTTTCTTCTTATTATTTTGCTTGAAACATTATCACCTCATACCATCCTTTGGCTTCAGAGACAAAGTATATCCATCCACATCCACCACCCTGTTGAGTGTCACTTACTGTTTTAGTAATTATTTGATCCTGTCCTTGTCACTCCAGTACCTGCTTTCCTCTTTTGGAATATTAACTTCTGAAATACAAAGGAAGACCAGGGCAATCTTTCAGCCAAGTTATTAGAGCACTTGTTGTGGACAGAGCGCTTGTCCTAGACTCAATCCCTAGCTCTACAGAAACAGTTTTGGGTATGGTGAATATGAGGCCATATTTTATATGTGAGGAAATCAAGGCGCACTAAAGGAAGTGCCCAAGGTCACACATGTCTTGAATTCAGGTCCCAGCCTTCCGAGCTGGCTCTGTTAGTATTATTACTGAGACAAAAGTCTTGCTATGTAGCCTAGGCTGGCCTCAAACTTATGATCCTCTCTGCTTCAGCCTCCTGAGGGCTGAGATTACTTACATGTGTGAGGCACCATGCCCAACTACTTAATGTTGCTGTAATTGTTCCCAAGTTTCTGCTTTCTATCTCTTCCTGGCTAAGAGTCTTTAGGAACTATTTATATCCTATATAAGGTACATCAAGTCCTACTATTACCTACCGTCTCTTTCTTCCATTGGGTCCATACCACAGGCAATGAGGAAGTACCACTGAGGAAGATGTGTTCATAAACCATTGCCCTCAAGTGATTTATGAAGTGATTAGCAGAAAATTCTCTTTAAAGACAGACTGTTCCAACCCCATGTCCAAAGAATAGTTTACCTGCTGAAGATGGAGAGAAGTCAGGCTCACCTCCCTGAAGCATTCTGACAATGTATTCCTCCTTGTAGCTTCCTTGCCTTGTTCCTACCTCCACCCCTGAGATGCCCGGGCTGGGCTCAGAACGGCCCAGTGTATGTATCTGCTCTCTCTAGTTGTACTTCCAGGCATTCCATTTTCCAAAGCAAGCTGGGCGGTGGTGGCACACGCCTTTGAGCCCAGCTCTCAGGAGGTAGAGACAGGCAGATCTCTGTGAGTTTGAGGCCAGTCTGCTCTACAGAGTGAGTTCCAGGACAGCCAGGGCTGTTACACAGAGAAACCCCGTCTGGAAATAAAAACAAAAACAAAAACAAAAAACAACCCAACTTTCTAAAGTCACCTCCTTCCTATGGAATTACAGTAGCTGACCCTGACCTGGGACGCCAGATCCGAAACCACACCATTGCAATGGAAGTGACCATAATGCCCTGATTCCTGACCATCTGCTGCCAAGGGCGAGGCTAAAGATCACGACGAGCCTTTCAGGAACTTTGATACATCTCCTCACTGTACGTACAACCATCAGAAAGTGCCCGGTGACACTTTCCAAGGATCCTGGGCGGTATTTACAGCCATCCTGACCTCTGAAATGACACTAATTAGGTCCTGGACAATTACCAAAAGTATCCTGTTTGACTTCTGCCATGTCACTTAAAGATGCTCACCCACCCCAGGTTACAAAGGCTCTTCCTTTTCCAGTTACAGGTGCCAAACACTGACGCTTAAAAAACCATGGACGTATTACAAAAACACGGCCTTCAGTGTTTGCCTTTCAATAGTTAGAAACCTTGATTCCACTGAGAAGCCTGGTGGGAAGGCCTTAGCTCCTTGGGGGTGGCAGTGGCTGCCAAGCAAAAGAGCCAATCAGCTTCAGAGTATTGTTTAGGCTGGACTTGGCTGCTGTCCAGCTCTGAAAGAAGGTTAAGGTCATTTGGGGGTGGGGTGGGGGAGGGAGGAGCCTGGGAAAAGAACTACTGGCCACACCCGGGGTTCTCTACTGGTCAGGTTCTGTTTACTTCTCAAAGGCCAATTACTCCCAGCTCAGTGGTCAGCAGTTCTCTTGGCCAGTGGTTAAGACCAATCAGAAACTGGAGACTGGGCTAGGCTGTCCCCGAATTGCAAGAGAGCAGATTAAAGAAACCCAGGAAACAGAACTCCTAGGTAATGCTCCACACACGGCCCAGAAATGCACTTTCTGGATGGCAAAGTGCGAGTTCAAGGCCCACAACAAAAATAACGATTAGAGTATTACTAAGTAAAATAAAGATATGAAACGCACCCCCTTTGGTTTTTATCAGAAACCATCTTGGTTGACAATGACTTTTTTTCTCGGTTAGTACTAATTTGCTATTCCTGTCCCTGACTCAAATATTAACAGCCACGCCAAATTCGATGAGTGCTTGACTAAAATTCTTTTGCCTCATGCCATGCACACTAGAAACCACTCCCGGAAGCCTGCTGTGGATGAAATAAGTGTGGTACTGAGAACTTGGGCCCTGGTCAGGTGGGTCTTGTTTTACATATGAAAGGGAACCACTGCACTTACCTTAAAGACACAGGGCTGCTGGAGGATTATTTGCAACATATTTTGTTCAGCAGACAAGTATCCAACAAAAAACCATCTTAGACTTCACTTATGTGAACCATATTTTGTTAGTATCTGTGATTTCTCTAGAAAAAAAAATCTGAACTTTAATTTTCTTCTCTTTTCTAAGCTTTGGAGGGGATGACATGAATAGAGAGAGATGAACAGAAAGGGGATATTGCAATATTGACCTAAAAGCAACTGTATCTACCACTTTGATACCAGAGATCCACCTGCCTCTGCCTCCCAAGTGCTGGGATTAAAGGCGTGCACCACCATAGCCCGGCAAGGGCTGACTTTGGAGCAGGAGACCTCAAAGGCAAGGGCATCAGATTCCTTGGGATTGTGGTTACAAACGGCACTGAGCAACCATGTGGGTGCTGGTGCTCTTAACTTCTGGTTCCTGGTAACCATGTTGGTCAGTGCCCAACTGCCTGCAACTCCAGGGAATCCAAAATTCTCTTCTGGATCTTTAACCCTTGAGCCTTTCCCTACTTCCCAACCACTTCAGACCACAATTTCAATTGAGGTAGCTAATCAAGGTCACACAGCAAGTTTGAGGCCTGAGCTACATGAGATTTTGTCTCAGAATCAAAGTAAACCAGGTGCTAAGGAATATAGGAATATGTATACCTCTATGTGTTCTTTTGCATGTGGCGGTCAGAGAAAGCATGGGAGGAGGTTCTCTCCAAGCATGTGGGTCCTGGGGAGTCGGAGGCTATTACAAGCTGAGCCATCTTGCGAGGCCCCACTCTTTTGGGGAGGTTGAGCTACCTCAAAGCCTTGGACACATTAGGCTCGTGTTCTAGCACTGAGATTTGAACAAAGATCACAAGACTTTGGTAGCATGAGCCAGCAGTCATCTGCTTGGAGTTGGCCCTGTGGAGGGAGGAAAGGGCACCTCCACAGTAGACAGTCTGGGGAAAGTGGAGCACTAGAGAGGTGGCCCTCAGGTAATGAGCAAGACAGTCTTATGCCATGGGATTTCTTTTCCTTCTCGGTTTTTCCAGATAGGGTTTCTCTCGTGTAACCGTTCTGGTTGTCATGGAATTCGCTTTGTAGACCAAGCTGCCCTCGAACTCATGAATACTGGGACTAAAGGCAGGCACCACTATGCCCAGTCTTTTTTTATTTTCCTCTAGAAAAGTCTTACTATGCAGACCTAGTTGACTTGTAACTGAACTCCAGGCAGTCTAACCTCAAACTCACAGTCACCTGCCTCTGAGTGCTGAGACTTAGGGTATATGCCATTACACCCAGGGGCTCAGGATTTTAACCGTCTTCAGCATTACAGAACTTTGTTCTGACTTTAAAGGTGGGTGTTATACAGGCAAAACACAAGAGGGAGGGTTAAGAATTTGGGAAAGGTTGGGCCATGGTGGTGCACGCCTTTAATCCCAGACAGGCAGATCTCTGTGAGTTTAAGACAAACCGGGTCTCTAAGAGCTACTTCCAGGACAGCTAGGGCTGTTACACAGAGGAAACCCTGTCTTGAATTTGGAAAAGAAGTGACAGCGTCATGAGTTCAAATTGCAGTGGGAGGACTGAGGATGGCTTCCTGAAGATTTTAACTGGTTGTAGAAGAGTCAAGGGTTGGTTGTGGTAGTGCACACCTTTAGTGTCAGAAGGCAGAGAGGAGGCCAGCCTTGTCTATAATGAGAGTTCTAGGACAGTGAGGTTCAAAATCACGAAAACAAAAACAAATGAGTCAAGGAGAGTTTCTGGCCTAACATGTTAGGTTGGACCTGCCATTTACTGCAAAAACTGAGCAAACCAGGCCCTCAAGGGAGCCAGGGCATATTTCCTCTACACATTCTGCTCAAGTTTTCAGTAGTGGTGCTGAAGTCTGGAGTCAAGAGAAAGGCAAACTGCAATCCAAGTGCTAGAGGCTGCTTCTTGGAAAATGGCTTAGTAACAATTTCTGAAAGAACCTCCCTTTGTCACAGTGGATGGAGGAGGCCACCACATAAGGGGAAGCAGGATCCTGTCAAAGGTCAAGCTCTTATTCTTTCCTGAAGCAGTATGTGATTATATAGTTCTGGCTGTCCTGGAACTACATAGATTGGGCTGGTGTCAAACTCAGAAATCCATCTGCTTCCGCTTCCCAAGTGCTAGGATTAAAGGAGTGTGCTCCTATATGCAGCTATTAGCAAAATATTTTACGGTTTAATTTTATGTGTATGAGTGTTTTGCCTGCGTGTATGCATTTGCGCCATGTGTGCCTGGGGGTCATGGAGTTCAGAACAGGGTGTTGGATCACTCCTGGAACTGGAGTTACAGAGGTTGTAAGCCACCACGTGGGTGCTGAGGGCCAAATCAGGATCTTTGTAAAAGTAAATTCTCACCGGGCGGGTGGTGGTGCATGCCTTTAATCCCAGCACTTGGGAGGCAGAGGCAGGAGGATCTTTGTGAGTTCGAGGCTAGCCTGGTCTACAAGAGCTAGTTCCAGGACAGGCTCCAAAGCTACATAGAAACCCTGTCTCGAAAACAAAACAACAACAACAAAAAAAGTAAGTTCTCTTAGTCACTGAGTCATCTCTCTGGCCCGGTTAAAGATTTAGTTTTTAATTATGTGTGTGAGTCCGCATGTGGGTCTGTGGATGTGAGTCCAGGTGTCTGGGTCTGTGGATCTGAGTCTAGGCGTCTGTGTGTGGGTCTGTGGATGTGAGTTTAGCTGTCTATGGCTCAAGTCAGGTGTCAGATCCCATAGAGTTGGACAGAAGGCTTAAGGTTGTGAGCCACCCAAACATGGGTCTTCTTAACTGCTAAGTCATCTTTTCATGCATAGGTAAAGTTCTTAAATAACTTGAAAATAAAAAACCCTCACAAAGTCTTACCAAGATTTAATGTACATTTATTCTTAACACGTGGAACATATAGTATAAAGATTTCATACTGAATAAATGATATTCATTAAGCCAAAAAAGGAAAAAAAGGAGGAATTTACATCAAGTTTTTAGCTACATTGACGAAATTCAAAGATGCAGATTTTATCACTGAAAAAATCTCAATGTGTTTCTTCATCAGGAACTTCAACTGAACCTAGAACTTTTTCACACCTCGATTAGAAAGGAAACAAAACAAAACAAAAACCCAGAAAAAATAAACTATAAGTTGATTGGCTGCCGAGACAGCAAGGACTTTTTACAGAGACCTGTACAGCATCGCACCAAGGGGGGCGATGTCTGGCAAGAGATTAAATAGCTGTGTCTCGCTTTGTGCAGGTCACCAACTTGTTAACTCGTCATACTATAAAGGGGTGGCTGGGAAGGGGACCAAACTGTGGCGATTCAAGGGTATGTGCAATGTACAACATCATATATATACACACGTGGCAGCGCAGCCGCTGCAGCTAAAGGTTAAAACCAGTTCTAAGAGGTGATCTCAGGGTTATTCATACAATCAAGGAGGAGAGAAAGAGGTCAGGGTGTTGTAGGTTCACACATGATACTTTGGGGGAAAAGCCTTTTTTTTTCTCCTCAACATTTAACTAAAAACATTTTTTAAAAACTACAGCTTGCTGCTGACCCAGCGTCTTCTCTCATTCCCATGTGAGACATTATTATTACAGTATGTTTACAGTATCAGGTGTACAGTACAGTACATAAAAGGGTCTACACTCTACTGCACAGGCCTCTCCAGTGAACAGGGTCTGCTCACAACTGCGAACGTCTCGGCTCCTGCGAGATTGTGAATGGACAGCAATAAACCACACAGTTCAGCAGTCACCTTTTGTCCTTCAGGGTTTTTTTGTATTTTTTTTCCTTTTTTTAGCCATTAAAAACAGTTATGAAATGTGGCATCCCGTTGATGCAAGAACCGGGAAAGCCATTTTCCCCAAACTCACTGTAAACAACAGTAACTTTGGTTAAAATAAAAAAGTCTTCTATGTAGGCAGAGCTTTGTCTTTTCAAATAGGGTGGGGTCCTGAGGGAAGCAGGTGAGGATGAGGAACAGAAAGGTGTTAGGGAGTGGGGGTGGGGAGAGACTTTCCCAAGGGAGAAGCTGGACAGCACAGGGTAAACTGGATTCTGAGGTGGTTTTGCATAAATAAAGGGCAACAGTCAGTTTCTAAGTTCTCCACACACTCACACACACACAGGGAGGGGAGGTGTCCCACGGCTGTCATGACTGGCCAATCAAAA